TAGAATAAAAAGTTTATTTTTTTAATCAGAGTACATTTATTTTTAGCCAACCTCTAAACCCATCCAAAGCCATATACCTATTGAATACTTTGTTTTGCCTACATTGTTGTAAAAACATGGTACCTACTATTGTTAATTTTCTTTTTTTTTTAATTATGTTTTTGTTTTTGAGATGGAGGCTTGCTGTTGTCCAGGAGGGGGTTCAGTGGTGGGATCTCCACTCACTGTGTGCCGGGTTCAAGCTATTCTCCTACCTCAGCCTCCCAAGTAGTTGGAATTACAGGCACCCACCACCATGCCTGGCTAATTTTTTTGTATTTCAGTAGAGACAGGGTTTTGCCATATTGGTCAGGTTGGTCTCGAACTCCTGACCTCAGGTGATCCACCCGCCTCAGATCCATCTCAGCCTCCCAAAGTGCTGGGATTAGTGCGCCACTGCTCCTGGTCCTGTTGATTTTCTTTGTCAAACCAACCTGATCTATATCTCCATCACTGAATTGCCCTGGACTTACAAGATTAAGGAAGGAATTGCAGCTATATTTTTTCTCGCTTCTTTCTCAGTTCCCTGAGATGAATGAGGTCTGCCAAGAGGATGAAAGGAAGGGCAGCATCTTGATTCCCTTTGTCATCCAGAACCTGGGCCTCTTGACTGGATTCACCATCATGTTGGTCCTCACCATGTATTCAGGACAGATCCAGATTGGGTAGGGCCCTGCCAAGAGCCTGTGGGACCGGAAGTCGGGCCCTGGGCTGCCCGATCCCCAGCCCGAGGACTCAGCGTCCCAAAAGCACCACAGAAGAGGCCGTTCCATTTGAAACTGACACAGACTGTATTCCTGCATTCAAATGTCAGCCGTCTGTAAATGCTCGATCCTAGGAATAAGCTGCCCTGGTAACCAGCCTCTAGCTAGTGCCTCTTGCCCTCTCCTCACCTCCTTTTCTCTCAGTGACTCTGGAACCTGAATGCAGCTTGTAAGACAAGCCTGACTTTTTTCTCTTATTACCTAGGCCTCCTTCTCTTGGAACCAGTGCTTAAAGGGTTTGAATCCTTTACCCAACAATGCAGAAATAGAGCTGGTGGTTATAACTTGGCTAGAAATATCAAGAGGTGAATCCATAGCGTGGGGCCATGACTCTAGCTGGGCGCCCTGGACCTCCAGCTGGCCAACAGAAAGAAGAGACAGGAGACAGGAAGCCTTCCCATTTTTTCAAAATCTGTTTAATTGTCTATTACTTCTCTCAAAGAGAACCTGAAGTCAGAACAGATGAGCAGGGTGTGGGGCGAGGCAGGGTTCATCCTGAGAGGGAGAGGAAGTCGAACCACTCCTATGTGTCTGGTCAGGATGGTCACTTGTTCCTACTGAGATGCTGGGTTTGGTTTTGTTTTTTGTTTTTGTTCTTTGAGACAGTGTTGCTCTGTCACCCAGGCTGGTGTGCAGTGGCTCGATCTCAGCCCACTGCAACCTCTGCCTCCCGTCTTCAAGTGATTCTTCTGCCTCAGCCTCCCAAGTAGCTGGGATTATAGGCGTGAGCCACTCTGCCTGGCTAGTTTTTATATTTTTAGTAGAGAGGGGGTTTCGCCATGTTGGCCAGGTTGGTCTTGAACGCATGACCTCAGATGATCCACCTCCCAAACTCATGATCTCAAACTCATGTTCTCAAACTCATGACCTCAGATGATCCACCCGCCTCGGCCTCCCAGAGTGCTAGGATTACAGGCGTGAGCCACCGTGCCTGGCTGGGTATTGATTTTGTAACAGCACCTGGTGTTTCATGGCTGTCAGGTGAGCTAACGTGGAGGTGTGGCTGCCTGGACCTCTTTCAGATGAACACTGATAGAACAGAGGGTCAGGCTGTTTGCAAAAAAACAGTTGGTTTGGCTATGATTCTCACCTCCTCTTCCCCACTGCCATCTTCTACGAGACTTGGTAGCTGCCTCCCTAGAAGCACATTTGAGACCTTGTGTTAGAGGGGAGACTGCACAATGAGCTATCCTCCCATTGAGATGTCTGCAGAGTGGCAAGCTGACTTGCAGAAGTGGGGTGCCGTTTATGCTGTACGTAGACAGGGGTAATCAGAAATGGAATCAGTGCAGGCAAAATTTAGGATTTGCTGCTTCCATAAATCAAAGCATGACTAACAGGGGTCTCTGAAATGTAAGGTCACAGACTTCACTTAGGGCATCACAGATGTTTGCAGAATGGCGGGCCTAATGATTATGTTGCACATGGCTTTTTAATGACCTGTCTAGGTTACTGTTTCCTTGCAAAAAAAAAAAAAAAAAAAAAAAAAAAAAAAAAAAAAAAAAAAAAAAAAAAAAAAAAAAAAAAAAAAAAAAGTCAAATCCTGTATTGAATTGAATATGAATTGATCTAACTCTCTTCAGAAAATGGCTGCAGACACTTGTCTGCAAGACTGTAGGCCAGCCTCTGGCACTGTGGAGCCCTCACCTCCGAGCTCTGGCTTCAAGGGGAGCTCATTTCCAGGTTCACTAGGTGAATTGATTTATTATTATCATATTGATAATGTGAGATTCTTCAGCCACTTTGGGGAGCCTGTCTCTCCAGAAGCCTTTCTTAGTGGTGCCCGCAGTTGCAGCTCAGGGGCCGTGTTTGCAAACTGATTCACGTGCATGGCCGGCAGGAGCACTGGTTCATTACCAATGCCTGAGTTTTTCTCTTCTCACGTAGAAAAGCTGTCCACTCAGTAATCACAAGCAGCATCGATTTGGTTTTCTCTTCTTGGGAGACATCTCTCACACCAGGAATATTCTTGAAAAGAGCATGAGCAGGAAAACTGCTGATGATACTTTTTAAGTTTTTTTCTTATCTCGCCTGTTGGCTTCAATACATTTGAGAATATGCTGAAGAAGGAAAATTTCAGTGATGGAGATTCTAGATTAAATATCAGGACTGACTCCTGGTAGGGTTATGGTCCAGTTTTACCAAAGAACCAATTCCTTGAATGTTGGAATCTAACTTTTTATATTGTCACTATTATTGTTGTTGTTTTAAAACGGTTCTTGTCTTTTCTGTTTTATTTTTCTCAAACTGCTTTCGGGAGCTAGCAGAAAATAACTCAAAAGTGTAAGACTCTGGAAGATTTTGCTTTTACCTAAGTTGCATTGATGTATTCAATTTATAATTTTAGCATTCCCAATAGACCCCGCCATTCCTTAAACATAATTCCCTTTGTCTTGGGGTAGAATACTAAGTTAGAGTTAGTGGATTTCTAGTTTAGAAGAGGAGCTCAAAGCTATATGAAATAGGTTGCTTTCCCTGTCTGTGCGCACCTGTATTACCTAAAGAAACTTCCTTTCATAGACAGCTGCCTCAAAGGGAATCCCCTTTAAATTGTAATTGGCGCAGAAGTCAGTCCTAGTTGGAGCTTAGGAGAGGTGGAGACGCTCACATCGTCGGACTTGAGTTGCCACTGATTGTGGCATCCGCTTTGCCTCATGAGTCAAAAATGTGGCAATTTCTTTTGCTTTTTAGGGGTTGAATTTGCTGTTTTAAGTATTTGTACAGAGTAGAAGTCTAAGGAGTAGCGAGTCGTTGGGAGGACTTTTTCACCCAGATGCACCAGCTCCTATTAAGAAATTAGCAAGGAAAGTGCCTGTCAGATGCAGGAACGGTGAGGCAGGGACAGGAGTTCTGCTTCTGCTCCCCTCACCACTGGCACGCAGTTTGCCCCGTCTTTGCCCCCAAAGGTATTTTGTGTCTAGTGTCAAATTGGAGCTGTGCTTCATTGGTCCTTAACCTTGGGTTTTAAAAAGAAGGCTTCTCTGTTTGGGTAGCGTAAGAACTGATTATCAACTGATTATAGTAAGTCTTCTTCCAAACAGATGGTAACATGTGGAGCATCTGCTTTATAAATAGTTGTCTGATTTTTGCAAGAGAGGTTAGGATTTTATTGTTCATATTTCCCTTTACAGTTCTGCAATTCCATCACAGTATTTTTTTAAACAACTCAGGTGTTATGAGAAGAAATTAGAAAATAAAATTAACTTATGTGGACTGTAAATGTTTTATTTGTAAGATTCTATAAATAAAGCTATATTCTGTAATTGTTGAGTGCCTCGTGTGATCATTTGCAATAAACGTGAATGTAATGAAGGCTGTTGAACACAAGGTGGCGATGGTGTCTCACTGACATACAAAGTTTTGTTTTACCAGGTCTGGTTTAGCATTTGACTGGGATTTAGAAGGAATCTTGTTTGTGTGTTTATTTGTTTGTGACAGAGTTTTGCTCTTGTCACCCAGGCTGGAGTGCATTGGTGCAATCTCGGCTCACTGCAACCTCTGACTCCCAGGTTCAAGCAATTCTCCTGTGTAGGTGGGATTACAGGCGCCTGCCACCACGCCTGGGTAAATTTTGTATTTTTAGTAGAAATGGGGTTTCACCATGTTGTCCAGGCTGGTCTCAAAACTCCTGAGCACAGGTGATCCACCCACCTCAGCCTCCCAAGTAGCTGGGACTACAGGCATGCGAAGCCATGCCCAGCTAATTTTTTAATTTTTAGTAGAGACGGGGTTGTGCCTTGTTGGCCAGGATGGTCTTGGAACTCCCAACCTCAGGTGATTAGCCTGCCTCTCAAAATGCTGGGATTATAGGTAAGAGCCACCATGCCGAGCCTATGCTCACTTTAAAACTAATTGGTTTCGGCCGGGCGTGGTGGCTCAAGCCTGTAATCCCAGCACTTTGGGAGGCCGAGGTGGGTGGATCACGAGGTCAAGAGATCGAGACCATCCTGGTCAACATGGTGAAACCCCGTCTCTACTAAAAATACAAAAAAAATTGGCTGGGCATGGTGGTGCGTGCCTGTAATCCCAGCTACCCAGGAGGCTGAGGCAGGAGAATTGCCTGAACCCAGGAGACGGAGGTTGCGGTGAGCCGAGATCGCGCCATTGCACTCCAGCCTGGGTAACAAGAGCGAAACTCCGTCTCAAAAAACAAACAAACAAACAAACAAACAAAAAAAAAACTAATTGGTTTCTCTCTCTCTAGATAACACCTATATCTATCTAGTTTTATATATATCTACAGAAAGAGTAGGCTTGAACTCTCAGGCTCAATCAATCCTCCCGCCTTAACCTTTTGAGCAGCTGAAACTAGAGGTGCACACCACCATGCCTGACTAATTTTTTATTTATTTATTTTTTTTTAATAGAAACATCTTGCTATTGCCCAAGCTGGCCTTAAACTCTTGGCTTCCCAAAGTGCTGGGATTATAGGCGGGAATCACCGAGCCTGGCCAAAAATGATTAGTTTCTCTTTACCCCGTTGCATGATTTAAAAAAAAATTGCAGTGTTTCCAAGAAGACTTTTCTATCACGCTGTTTTCTCATATATAAACTTGAAGCTTGCTACGTGTGCTTAGTTCGTTGAAGCCACATCTCTGTCTTACAGGGAGAAGGTCCTCTGTCAATGAGACTTAAAATCCTAAAGCTGTTTTCTTTCCAGTTTAGTTGTAGGGTCGGGGATCTGTTCTTCTTCAACAACAGAAATGAGCAGTAAGATTTAAAAAAAAAAAAGTTGGTTCAATTTTATGACTACCACAATTAGAGATTTCCAAATGCCTGATAGTCCTTCCTTTGTTAAAACAAGAATAATAGGCCAGACGCAGTGGCTCAAGCCTGTAATCCCAGCGCTTTGGGAGGCCGAGGTGGGCGGATCACTTGAGGTAAGGAGATTGAGACCAGCCTGACCACATGGTGAAACCCCGCCTCTAACTAGAAATACAAATATTAGCTGGGTGTAGTGGTGCATGCCTGTAATCCCAGCTACTCAGGAGGTTGAGGCACGAGAATCGCTTGAACCCAGGAGGCAGAGGTTGCAGTGAGCTGAGATGGCGCCATTGCACTCCAGCCAGGCGACAGCTGAGGCTTCATCTCAAAAAACAACAAAAAAACAAGAACAGTATATGAAATGGCTCATGTTGGTCTTTTAATTTGCATTACTTCACCACTCCTCCGTTTGCCGTTCGA